GAAATCCTTGACAACTTCAATCTTTTCTGTTTATCAAGGTGTTACTTGCTGGTTCAATTGTGAAGATCTACGTTTTATGTTGAAATGTAATCCATACTAAAGGCTATAATCTTTTATCTTCAGCAGGAAGTTGAAGTCCCCTTTACTTTCTGAAGCATAGTTGTGTCATCTGCATATGGCAGGTTCTTAATGATTTTTCCTTCAACTTTAATGGTGAAATTTTTCTTCATATAATTCAGCTTCTAAGGTTATTTGCTCACCACACAAATTTAATAGGTACAGTGAAAGGATACAACCCTGACACACTTTTCTTGCTTTGAAAGCATACAGAATTCTCTTATTCTGTTCCAACAAGTGCCTCTTAGTATACGTACAGGTTCCACATGAGTACAGTTAAGTGTTCTGGAATTTCAATTATTTGCAGTGTGATCATTTGTTGGGATCCAGATAATTTAATTCTTTTGTACAGTTAATGAAACAGAGGTAAATATCCTTCTGGCATTGCTTTCAGTGAGAACCACAGGCACAATGGCTGAGATTTACAATAGTTAACATATATTTGGGTGGACACAATTCAACCCATAACACACACTATACAGAAAAAGAAAAGACTACTCTCTATAAGAATATTTCTTTTTCTTCTTTGCATGGGAAAACTTGGACGAAGTCCCCTATTACCAGAGATTATGCAGTCAAATTTCCTACATTTCTGGAAATCACAGGGGTCAGCATGTCAAGAAGGCTGAATAAGCCTGGCCCTGGGAAAATCACCTTCATGCAGCTACAGCGTAAGGCTACTTAATTTTACAAAGCTGGAATAATAATATCTTTTAAAATTGCACAGTGATTTCTTTTTATAATAATTTCCTTGGTATACCACTACATACAAAAGACTAAATTATTAGTATGAATTGATAAAAATAAGTAACAAATAAGCTAGGAAAGTGTTGTTAATACTCGTTACAGTAAATGAGAGCCTACTGTCAGAGTGAACCCATAACAAAATGTCACTTCTGCCATCAGATTAATATTTAATTTAATAATTTATAAATGTTATACTACAAATTCCTCATTGCAACATATTTTATATTAAATGTCTTTTTTTTTTAACAAGGAATTACCTAAAATACATGGTGGTTGTTATTACATGCAAGAGATTTATAAATATATCTCTGTCCTTGATCTCAAGGAATTAATTGAACACTAAACAATAAACAAGTTTGCACATTTAGATTGTTAATCTAGTTTAAATGTCTTTTGTTGTTTATAGAAAACACTGGGGGAAAAACTCTAAAAGGAGTTTCTAAGCACTATGACAAATACAGTAAAACCTACAAAAGCTAGAACCTATGAGGTGGAAACCTGTGAAAGAAGGAACATTCAAATATTTTCCATTAAAACAAGCAATACAAAAGTGTTAAGACTGCACTATGGAAAAGGCAGAAAATTTGAAAGACCTGGAAAACAAGGCAGTTCCACTGAACTCTGGCTTTCACAGGTTTCATTATACTTAGAAGAAGCAGCTCAAGACAGAAAAACTAGTGTATGGCTCAAACTCAACTCAAAGCCACTGAATCAGAACCAACTCATAGTTGATCCTCTGTTGGGTTTCCAAGGCTACAAACTACGTAAAAGGAGAGAGCTCATTTTTCTCCTGAGGATCCACTGGTGGATTTGAACCTCTAGAGAGCATGGCCTTTGGGTTAGCTATGCAACTCCCTATGGACAATGCCACCAAGAGTGCCTTTAGTTTATGGCTCTAACACTGGTTTAAAAAAAATAATTCTAGCTCCTTACTAGTTTATGGCTACTACTAAAATAATGATGACATGAACTAAGAATAATGTTAGAGGATAGTTGAGATATACCTCAAACTACAGTCAAAAAGTTTAAATACTAATACTTACATAGGAATTGGAACTTGACATGGAGGACAAGGTAATGCAGTCTGAATAAATACTGGCTCAGAAGGCTGTTCCCAGGGGACTGTAGGCTGATACTACAAATGAAACAGAATAATCTTTAATCACCTGCATTAAGCCACATGGCCATTTAAGGGTCTAAGAAAATAGTTCCATACATTTCTCCATTCAAGCAGATTAAAAACTTGTTAAATAAGCAACATTGAAATACTTTATTCCAATTTATTCAGTGTTTCTCTCCACACATTTAATATTAATAACTGAGGCTGACTCCACTTTTTTAAATGGTGTAATAAAAACTTCATAGTATCCTTCACTTTTCAAAAACTGAGCATGAGGATGGTAAATTCTAACCACTACTATTATTTTGCTCACTACTGTCTTCCAAAAAGTGAAATGATTAACATTTAGTAAGGACGAAACAAATACTAGTTAAGTAGGTGAATGAATCTTTGAAGAAGCTAAAAGATTATCTAAACCTGAAACCATATTACATGAAAAAAAAAATTTGAGTTGGAATAAACTCCTAGCTGCCATTTCATTGAGTTTCCAAGGCTCTAAATCACAGAGAAAGAGACTGTACACCTTTCTTATCTGGAGCTATTGATGGATTCAAATTAACACAGGCAAGGCCTCTGTATTAGTGTTCAACTACTTACAAACTAGGCCACCAGAGATTGTTAATAAATGTAAAAAGAATTCCAAATTCATTAATATCATGTTGTCAAGTTGGAAAAGACTCACAACTCTGACCCTTCAGAGGCTTTTCAGAAGCTATAAAACGCACAGGAGGAGATTTCCCATCTTTCTCCCATGGAGTAGCTATGGATTAGAACCACCAGAAAGAAGTGGTCTTTGGATTAGCAATGCAACTCCCTATGGGATACACCACTAGAGCTCCCTATCTAAATACTGTGGTGTGACTGGGTAAAGTCAAGTCAGAAACAACTCATAACTGACCCTCCAGCAGATTTACAGAGGCAGTAAATTGCACTGGAGAAGACTGCTTGTATTTCTCTAGCAGAGGAGTAGATTTGGACCGCATACCTTTTGGGTATGTGCAATTCCTTATCACTAAGCCACCAGAGGTCCCACAAATACATATATATACTATTAAAAAAACCCATGAAAACAAACTCAAACTCATTGCCACTGAGTTAGAACTCACAGCTGACCCTGCAGTAGGTTTTCTGAGACTGTGTAATCTCATGGGAGGAGACTGCCTATTTTGCTCCCTCGGAGCAGCTGACAGATTCAAACCACATGCCCTTGGGTTGGCAGCACAACTCTTTAATCACTAGGTCACCAGAGCTCCTTATATCATGATTATAAACAGCCTACAAATCCAATGGTTTAGGAAAATGATTTTCAGTTTCTCTATTCTCTGAGTTTCTTAAAGACGAAAGACTAAGTCTTATTTACCTTTACCCCAGTTCCTAGAACTGTGTTTGATAACTGTATGTGCTAGATTATTGTGTGCTCAATAAGCAAAAGGAAATTATGACCCACAGCTTTTGAAGCAATGCACTCTCTCTTTAATAATATTGTTCCCTTACCCTGCCAGTTTGCTTTATTAATGCTTGATCATGACATGAAGCAGGACACAAGTGACCACATTTCTCCAAAACTTTTTGGCAAGGCTGATGACATGGAGGACAAGAGCCAAAGTGACAGCGATGTTTTTCTTGACTTGTATGATGGCAAGTTGGTGGTTGACTAAATCATAAAGTACAATTTTTTAAATTATTTTTGATCACGGAACAATTACATCTAAAGTGCAATTATGAACTTACATAATTTTCTTATTCCATGAAGCATAAGCATACTTGTAAATACTACTATTTTTAAACACAAAAGAACAGTATTCATTAACTAACAAATACTAAATGTCAATATGAATTTCAATTTGTAAGACACACAGATGGAAGCCTGTGCAATCTTCCACACTAACCTGCACAGCTCTTTGCACTTGGGTGGCTTTGTGGTGCGCTCCCGGCCACAGGGCACTGTCACCTTTGTAACACCACAATTGCATTTAACATCCACAGTTTCCGGACAGGGATAGCAACTGCCTGGGAAAAAAGTTGGAGACATAAAATGAAGTTTCTGTAATCCCTAAAATGTGCATCAATTATAAAATGGATAAACAAATTCAGTGTACCAGAAAGTGGAATATTCTAAGTGACAATGGGGAGAAAAACAACGTGAATAAATCTCACCCTTGTGGCAATGAGTTAAGCTGGACAAAAAGAATACCTATCATATGATTCCACTGAAAGAAGATAAACACAAAAAAGTAATCTATATTATTAAAAACCTAGATTATAGTCACAAAGAACAAAGACTCTAGACAGATTAATAAGATTCTATTTCTTGGTATGGGTCTGGTTACGTAGTTATGTGTGGTTTGTAAAAAGTCATCCAGCTATACATGAATAATTTATACACACACACACACACACACACACACACACACTGCACTTTACACTTGATCTTAGCCAAAAGACCAAGAAGCGATACACACTGCACTTTAATAAACGGTTTCATATTTTCTTTAAAACTTGCTAAAATTTCTACGCTAAGTGACAAACTTAACACATAGTGTTTATTTAAAACTAACATAGAAAAGAAGGTTAAGTCTTTGGAAAAATCTAATGGTAACAATCTTTTTTTTTGCATATTCTCATATTTCTAGTTAAGCACAATATATTTAGGTAATTTTCCAATAAAAGTTACTTCTCCCTAATGACATGTTATTAACAAGTTCAGTCAACTGTCGTGATTCATGATGTTGAAAGACTAAACTGCAATCTTCATTTACAATTAAGATTCCAAAAATTTCCTTTCCAAGCATTTCAAAAGGAAAAATCATTTAGGTTTCAATTTTGCACTTTCTTGTGCTATGAATTCCTCATACTCATTGCCATCAAGTCAGAACCAACTCATAACTGACCCTCTAATGGGTTTTCAGAGGCTGTAAACTGCATAGGAGGAGAATGTCTGACACTCTTTCTGACACTCTTCCATAAAGCTGTTAGAACATTTGAACCATAACCATGTGCGTTCTGGTTGACAGTGCTACTCCTGATCAACTAGAAATTATCGGCAGAAATTAAAAGGGAAAAAAAGAAAGGAACATTTAAAGATACAGAAATAGTCTATAAATTTCTTTCCAAGAATTTTACACCATCTTAAGGGTTTTCTTCCCACTCTGGTTGTCCCAGTAACTATCTCATTAAAAATTAAATTTAAAAAAGGGAGTAAAAATTCCTATCTAAAAATCTATTACCTTCTATTGTTACTTCGGCATCAAACTCAGTCAACTATAGCAATCAGAGAAGGAATGCATTACTATTAATAAAAATAGCTTAGTTTAATGGGTCTAATTAATAGTGACCCTATGAACAATAGATCTGAACCTTGCCCTATTCTAAGCCAGTCTCACTGACTCCAAAACATCTATCCCCATTACTCCAGTTACTGTATCAATCCATCTCATCTAGGATCTTCCTCTTCTATGCTTCTGCCCTTCCAAACATGTCTGACTTGTCCCTCTGACCACGTGCCCAAAGTGTGAGAAATGGAGCTTCAAAATCCTAGACAAGGAGAAACCTGGTTTCATCCTCTCCAAGACAGACCTATTTGTTCTCTTGGTGGACCCTGGTATGTTCAATACTTTTCTCTAGCACAACTCAAAAGCATCAAATCTTCTTTTAACATCCTTAGTCAATGTCCAACTGTCTGATGCATAGCAAGTAACTGTGAAGATGAAAGCCTGGATCAGATGCACCTTAGTCCCTAGATTGACATCATACCTTTTTAGCACTTTGGAGAGGTCTCTGATAACATACTTTTCCAATGCAATTCATCTTTTGATTTTCTGACTACTGGCACCAAGAGTTCTTATTGTAAGAGCCAAGTAAGCTGAAATTGTTAACAATGTCAGTCTCTTCTCCATTTTTGTGGTGCTGCCAATTGGCCCAGTTGTTAAGACTTTTAAGGTAGCTATGAGTCACAGGTGACTTGATGGCACATAACAGTAACAAATGGCTCTGAAAACGCCAAACAGTCCCATGAAACAAAATGAGAATTTTGGTTAAAGCAATGACTACAGGAAAAGGGAATATAAAAGTAAAAATCATACATGTTTGGAATCACAGAAGCCAAGAAAGCTTCAGATACAAGCTGTCAGATCATGGGTTGGACAATGGAAGATATTTTCTGAAGGAATTTAGCAGATGTGAAGGTGAAAAATAATACAGGAAAAGAAATTCCTTATTGTCCGAATTACTAAATTCACCCAATGTCTGACTGAATATAACCCAGTATTATTTTGACATTCATGCTGGTCAAGTCATTATGATCCACTTAATGAAATTTATTTTATAGCTCTAAAGCAATGACTAAATGTTACATACTTTTTTTTAAAATTAATGACATTTAAGTCAATTCTCATTCTGCGCTGCATACCAGTTTTCGTGCTGATAATTTTTATCTTCAATTCAAAGAGGAACTTACTAAACATAACCTTTTATCATTCTAAACTATGCATCACTTGTTAAAATTAAATCTTCAGCATACTTTTTCTGTACAGCTAGTTTTCCTAACAATCAAAAGAATGTTAAAGTTATCTGTACAACAGATAATTAAAAGAGATTCAGTAATAACATAATAATTAAAGAGGTAGGTGAATCAAAAGCTAAAAATAAAGTTACCCCAATAATTTTAGAACCATAAATAAAGATTTTGTACTTAAAAGAACTATAAAAATTTACATTCACACTAGCTACATGCAAGTAGTACCTTCTTCCTATAAGTTAGAGAATATTTCTGATTATAAAGGTTTCTAGGATGAAGGACAAGGAAATGAAATTAAATCACCATAATTGCATATATCTTATATAACTGTATTTAACAATGTTAAAGAGTTTCCTAAAAATATCTTTTAGCTTATGACCTACTTCAGGGCAACTAACAAGCTTCCTTTTGAACCAATAAATATCCTCACACAAAAACAGAACCAAATTTAATTAAGGGAGTTCTGGTGGCCTAGTGGTAAGAAGCTGTGCTGCAATCCCAAAGACAATTCAAATCCACCATTTGCTCCGCAGAAGAAGGATGGGCTATCTCCTCTCAAGCAACTAACTACTGCCTCTGAAAACCTGTCTGGAGAGTTAGCTATGGGTTGGTTCTGACTTGATGATACAAAATAACAAACTTAATTAGGCCACTAGACTAACCAACAACTTATAGAAAATATAAAGGACAAAGACATACATTTTATTAACACCAAAAATACACAATCTGAAATACCTCAACTATGTTAAACTAAATAACACAAATGATCAATTTTGTATGACTTCACATAAAATGCACAATGTACAGAAAAGTTTTACTAGGACTTACCAGGGGTAGGAGAGAAAAAGAGGAACTTCGATAGAAATACTGCATTAAGATTGCATAACTAATTTCTTTTAACTGCTGAGGAAGAACTAAAGTACTTGCTGCTGAAAGTCAAGGACTACAGCCTTCAATATGGCTTGAAGCTCAACGTCAAGAAGACAAAGATTCTCATCACTGGGCCAACCGGCAGCACCATGATAGATGGAGAAGAGACTGAGGTTAACAATTTCAGCTTGCCTATGTTAATTAATTCTAAAGTATGAAACATTCTGCAAGTTCTGTTACTAGTAATTATTTCTCCAATGAATACTTTTCAGTTGATTAATATCAGGTCATTGTCCAGTTGATCTATGTTTATATCTTTTTTTATACCCACAGAAGCTCTTTTGTTTCAATACTAAGAGTATAATCTCTTTTAAGATATATTAAATGAAGTTAAATTCAACATATGAAATATTAATAAGAGTGTGACACCAGGATTAGAGGAGTACTCAATAATAATCTACATTATGCATGTTACATACTTTGTTTGCAAAAAGTGAAAAAGACTTGAACTTTTGAAAAGTTCAGAGAATACAGCCTTTAATATGGGTTACATTGCAGCATCAAGAAAACAAAAATCTTCACTGTTGGACCAATAGACAACAACATGCTGTTATTTTTGGTAAGAGCTGTTGAGTCATACACAATTCATAGTAATCTTATGAATTACAGATGTGAATCTTGGCTCTATCTGACATCAAGGATAATGAAAGGTTGTTAAATATTGTTTCACATACTTTGAGTGTGTCATCAAGAACAGACCTCAGACTAAGAAAGAGACTTACACTGGAAATAGACATCATAGTAGGAAAGGTATTTTGTGCTTGGAAATCAACATTATGTAACAAAGACAGCATAACCTTCACAAGATGATGTGACACAGCTGCAACAATAAACTTGAACATGGCAAAACTTATGAAAATGCTACAGGATGATTGAGCAAAGTTCTATTTCTTATTAATAAGGTTGTTATGAGTCATAGTCAACTCTGCATCATTTAACAAGGATATTACTGAACTAAGGTGGTGATACTATGTACAACTCTTAACCCATAGTATGTCCAGCAGTAACTGTACCACAACTGTCACCATCTAGCTAAGAACAATTTTAATGTATTCTCTAATTACAATTAACATAGACAACACTAATGTGTATTTTTTTAGAAACACTGCATTATCATCATAATTAATGACTTGAGTGGGAAAACTCAATCATCAATGGCTCTGATCAAAAAAGAATCAAGATAAAAGAAAACCATTAACAACAAAATAAAACTGAAACCAAATGGCAGCAACTGCAACAACATAAACCTTAGACAGTAGCAGAGTTGGAAACAACCTAAGTGCCCATCAACAAATGGATAGAGAAGCTCTAGTGTATTCATACAATGAAATACTATCTGCATTGAAAGCCAAGGAACTCATGAAATATGCAAAATGAGTGACCCTGAAGGACATTATGCTGAGTGAAATATCTCAGTCACAAAAGGACAAATACTGCACAGTGCCACTGTTGTAAAACTGGACTGACATTGGGGTTTGGAAGAGACTGAGAAAGATGGGATAAATTATGTATACTGCATTGATCCAGATGAGGAAGAGAACTGTTTAAAAGGGATATATGTTTAGATATTATTGTCTAGACAAGAGTCCAGAATGAAGGCTGCACAGTGGAGTGAACTCAGAGGGAAGTATTGTATAACAATGAAAGAATTTTTCTTTTACTTTTAAAAGAGAAGAGAGAACTGGGGGCAGTGGGGGAGGTTGGGCAGGGAGAAAAGTGCAACAATGAATAAATGGAAATTTAAAGTCTGTAAACGTTCATTACAATTTAAAAAAAAAAATTTCAGCTTGCTTGGTTCCACAATCAACAATCCTGGCACAAGCAGTCATGAAATCAAAAGATGAACTGAATGTGTTGTCAGGGACTTTTCTAGAGTGCTAAACAGCATGGACGTCAGTCTAAAGGTGCACTGATACAGGCCATTCTCTTCACAATTACTTGCTCTGAATCAGAGTGCTGGACAATGAGAAAGGATGACAGAAGAAGAGGCGATGTCGTTGAGCTGTGGTGCTGGAAAAGAGTATTAAACATACCATGGACCCCTAAGAGAACAAATAGGTCTATCATGGAGAGGGTGAAACCAAGTTTCTCCTTGGAGGCAAGGATTTTGAAGCTCTTTCCTTTTGGAAGGGTGGGCGGACAGCATAGGAGAGGAAGATCCCACATGAGATGAGCTGACACGTGGGTAGGTGTGTTGGAGTCAGTGAGATTGGTTCAGGATAGGGCAGGGTACAAAGGGCCATTAAGAGTCACAGGCTACCTGACAGCACATAACAACAATAAATCATTTTGTCAAATGTTGAACTGGCAAAAGGTGTGTAACAGAAATATTTACAACAACCACAGAAAAAGAGAGAGAAAAGCTACTAAAGCTGATTATAGGACATGAGATGTCATAAGACAGTGCAGCTTACTGGACATGCTTAGGATTTCTAGTCTACCTCAGTTAAATGTACAGTGCCTCGTAGTGGTCTTCAAAGCTCTTAAGCAGGCATCCAACACACAAAAACTGGTCTCTATCAGACTGGAACAAAAGAGTGCTGAACGGAAAAGGACATGGACTGTGTGACTAATTACCTCCAAGAACAACTGCCTCCTATGCCATAAAACCAAAAAGATCAGATGGTGTCCGGCTATCATTACATTTTTCTCAAAGATTCTATAGAAGAGCAATCATAAGCAAAAGGGAGAAAATGCAGAACAGAAATTCAAACTCTCAGACTTGACTTCCTGGAGTAAAGAAAGATGGTTTAAACCTTAAGACAATTACTCTGAGAGATAAAACTTAAAACTAAAAATAACATCTACCTTCTTCTTAAAATAACAGTTTAACTAGTTAAGAAAAAGTATGCTCTTTTAAGAACTACCTATACTCAATCAAATTGACAAGCACAATTTGAAAGAGTAGATAGGAACCTGAGGGGGCTGTGAATTTATGTCAATAGGCAAAGAACTCAGAAAAGAAGGCGAGAATGTCTACATAACTCAGACTGTAACTAAATTTCACATAAAGAAATGTTCAAGTTGATTATGTTTTGCTGTGTACATTCTCAAAAACAAATCAAAGTATATTTGAAAGATAAAGTAAACGAACTAGTTTCTTGAAAAATCTAAATCTCAAGGAGAGGGGGGAAAGAGATGGAAAAGGGATCTCATAAAATATAAGACTTTAGAGACATCCATCAATTTGCTACACATATCAATCTCAGTTCTTGAGTTATATTTGTGTATAAAATAAAATTTATATTTATAATTCATTTGGAAATCTGAATACCAGATAGTCTGATATTAAAAAATAAGTTTATTCAGTTTTGAAAAGTATATATTATTTTTACAGTACTGAGTCTATGTTTTTACAGATAAAGGCCAAAAAGAGGTATGAATTTTGCCTCAAAATAATGAAGAGAAAATAACATTGTTCCCCTAAGAATGATGTATACTGAAAGGTTTTCTCCAAGTACTTTATTCCCTATTTGCATCTTCCACGTGAGGCTCAATTTCTGACTGACAAAGCAGGCTATTTCTGACTAACAAGCAGACACTGCTCATCAGGGGAAGTCAGTGAAGTCTGCGTGCTGTATGGTGTTGAGCATGTTTCGGCAGAGCTTCAGACTAGACAAGTTAGAAAGATCTGGTGATCTACTTCCAAAAATTTGCCAATGAAAATTTTATACCTCACAATGGTCTGTGTTGCACATGATCAGAGATGGCACAGGACAACACATAAAATTTCTCCTATTGTGTATGGAGCTTCCTTAAGTGAGGAGACAACTCAACTCAGCTAAACCACCACCTAAAACCAGCTTCTGAGAACGGGAATGCACACAATTTCGTCATGATACATTAAGATTACGGATAGTTAATATTATAGTATTAAAAAGCTGTATCTGAGTACCTAAAATGTTATAATTTTGCAGATGTTCGTATAATTTAGATTAGCTTGTCATTTTTTCCACTCTCATCAAGTGATATAATGACTATAGGTGTATTCCTTTTTGTGTGTGTACTCTCAAACAATTTATAAGAAGGAAAAAAATTATGTATGACTAAATGTTTTGCTTGCTAGAAATCATTTGTTAAAAAAACTAGACCTCCTATTTTCTTAGTATGAAAAGTTTAAACTACTGATTCAATTGTTTTAATTGTTATAGAATTAGTCATGTTTTCTATTCAAAAGGACAGTATTTTAACAATGGTCTGACAGTATTTTAACAATGGTCTCACAGGCCCTATAAAATTTCTTTCCTTAGCAATCTTTTATCCCAACCATCTCTAACATTTGTCTCCTTAAGCACCTCCGTTCCATCACATAAACCTCCATGCTGTTCTACAATGCACAAAGACACTACGAACAACAGATCTGAAGCCTGTCCTATCCTGTGCCACCCTAATACTTTATACACTAGAGGCCAATGCAGTAGTCAGCTTGTCAATCCATCTGGCTGAGAGGGTCTTACTCTCCCTTCACTGACCTTCCACCTTTCCAAGCACAATGCCGTCTTCTAGCCACACGCCCAAAGTATGTAAGACAAAGCTTTATCATCTTTGCCTCTAAGGAACACTCTGGCTATACCTTCTCTAAGACTTATTTTTTTGTTCTTTTGACAATCCTTGCAATATTTAGCACTCTTCTCCAACACCATAGTTCAAAGGTATCATTTCTTCTTCTGTCATCCTTATTCACTGTCCACCTCTCAGATGCATAGCAAGTGATCAGAAAGATCATGTCCTGAAATCAGATGCATCTTGGACCTCAAACTGACATCACTGTTTCTCAATAATTTGGAAAGGTCCCTGACTGCAGACTTTCCCAGTGCAATACGTCTCCTGATCTCTTTTCTGCTGGTACCAAGAGCGTTGACTGTGTATCCAAGTAAGATGAAACCACTGACAACTTCAACCTTTTCTCCATTGTTATAAATTTTATGATAAGAGGTCCAACTTTTCCAAGGAACCTCAGGTGGGTTAGCAGCACAACTCACTGCAGACTTTCCTACTGGAGCTCCCTATCACAGGCATTAAATATACCTGTAAAAAGAAACTGTTGTTGTTGTTTACTGTCAAGTGGGCAATGACCCATACCTGACCCTCTCGTGAGTTTTCAGAAGCAGTTAATTATACAGGAGATTATCTATCCTTTTCCTACCTACAACAGGTTTTTAGAGGCAGTTAATAACACAGGAGGAGACTGCCCGTCCTTCTGCAGAGCAGCTCATGGATTCAAACCATGTGTCTTTGGGATTGCAGCACAGTTTCTTACCACTAGGCCACCAGAGCTCCTTTCTCTTTTCACTACTTTTTCTCATTTTAGAAAGAGGAATTTTCATGAAAAGTGTTATCTGTGTTAACATGTAATGGATTAATATTTAGTAACATTAAATAAATTAATATATATTAGATTTTAGTTTCTAAGATAAAAATTCATAAAATCCACTTTAATGAAAGTTCTTTGAATCCAAAGAGTGTAAAGGGGTGTGAGACAAAAAAGTTTGATAATCACTACTTTGGTGTATATATAATTTCTTCTTGGATTTAATTCCACATAAAGACTTAAAATACAAAATATTGGACTAAAAACCTACAAAAATGTCATAATTATAAAACTGTGTGGAAAAATTCAAAAAGGAATGAAGAACAAATAAATACAATGTTGAAAATACCCAAAAACCCAAAATGTTTATATGAACAGGATTTTGGTTCAACTACTGGTGCTGCTACTTCATTAAATACTTTCCTCCCTTAGCTGGCCCCACTCTCCTCCTCTGTAAAGGAGATACCAGTAACTGTCTTACCTTCTCCTCAGTGTTATTAGAAGAATTAAGTACAATAAAGAGTGTGAAAGTATCGAACCACTTACAAAGTACTATTTAAATAAAAAGTTATAGCATCTATTAAATTTTACCTCTGTGGCAGACAGATGGACACTTATGGTTTCTACATCCTAAAGTCCGTCCACAGTTTTGATCGCAAGGTGGACAATTTCCAGGGCAACACTGGAGAGAGAGCAATATACAAAGAATAAGTCATTTGAAAACTAAAACACAATATAAACGGCATTAGTAGTTATTCAAAGAAAGTAAAGAATATTTATATTCAATAGAAGAAAAAAGCATTAAAAACTATCAGCATTCTTTTGGTAAGGAGATGAACTCACTGTATTAAGAATTTAGACATTTAAATAGACAATGACCTAATTTAATAAAAACAATCCAAATGTTCTTGCCTTTCAGCTAATTATCCTATGATCTAAAAATGAATAAATTAATTTCTATTTATTTATATAGAAACTGACAATTTTAACCAAAGGGATAGATGTGGTCAAATTCTATAGTCAATTGAGGGCAAACAATTAGTGTGCCTAATTTTTAAACTTAATTCAAATAACACAGTTCAAAATTAGATTTATTTGGCAGTTATCCTCAAACCATGGAGTCAAAGACTAAATAAAGGATCATAATAGAGACATGCTATGTGCTTTGAACTTTCTGTACTGTATTTTCCAACCTATTTGGGAGACATGTGACCTATTTCAATTTTTCATTCATGAACAGAGGACAACAATTTAAAAGTCTGTAATGTCAACTCACTATCTCTAATACTATAGCTATCTGTGCTACTCTAATGTTCACTGGGTTTTCAAAGGCCTGTTACTCAAGAACTGGATGGCCAATCTTGCTTTCTAGTCTGTTTTAATCTGAAAGCTCTACTAAAACCTGTCCACCAAGGTTAACCCTTGTAGCATTTCTGATCACTTACCATGACTATGAGAGCTGGACAATGAATAAGGATGACAGAAAAATAATTGATGCCTTTGAGTTGTGATGTTAGAAACAAGTACTGAACATCCCATGGACTCCCAAGAGAACAAACAAATATGTCTTAGAGAAAGGGCAGTAGGACTGCTCCTTGGAGGCAAAGATAATAAAACTTCACCCTACATACTTCAGGCATGTTCCTAGGGAAAGCTCTTCCTTGGAGAGGGACATCATGCTTGAAAAGGCAGAGGGTCGGAGATAGAGAGGAAGATCGTCAACCAGGTGGACTGACACAGTGACTGCCATAAGGGGCTCTAAAGTGTGAGGATAGCACAGGATAGGAGAGGGTTCAAATTTGTTGTTGATAGGGTCCCTATGGGTTGTACTTAAATCCATAGCACTTCACAATAACATCAACTAAACTTTTCTTGTCTTTTAACATATCCAAACTTTGGAGAAGAAATACAAATAACTCCTTTAAAGACATTTAGGATTGTGTCTTACATAAAACAAAGTTCCATGACATAAAAATTGGAAGCTCTCATGGCATGGTCTGGAGAGAGTAATTCTGCTTACTAAAAGGCTTAACTTAAGGCCTTTGTGCCTTAAAAGAAATGGACTGGAAAATATTTTTAAAAATTGGGGGAGAAAGAAGCTATTACCCAAAAATATGAAGTCCACACTGTCCAGAAATCAGTAACAAAATCACTCAGCCAGCAAAGATTAGGAAAATATGACCCAGGAAGAAAGAAAAAATCAATGCATTAATAAAGATACCTAGAAATGACAGGTGACTGAGTAACAGCCAAGAGCATTAAAACCGGAATTATAAATATATTTTTTTACAAAAGATAAAATATGAATATACTTAGGAGAGAAAAGGGAAAAATAAACATTTTTAAAAGTTCCAAATCAACCACAATTTCTTTGAATTTCAAAAAGTGGGAGGTGGGAGAAACAACGACAAAAAAAATATTTGAAGAAATAAAGACCAAAAATTTGAAAGATTTGATAAAAACTACAAACTTACAGACCCAAAAAGCTCAACAAAAACTAAGGTAAAGAATTAAGAGGGGAACTATACCAAAGAACACAATAAACAAATTCCTGGAAAATGGAAAATAAAGAGAAAAATCTTAACAACCAACTAAGGGGGAAGAAGGGACAGCACATTACATATAGGAAGAAGAAAAATTATGGCAGACACCTTGTTGGAAATAATATAAGCTAATAAATAAGTGAAACATCGTCTTTGAAGCATGGGGATTAAAACTAACAAAATAGAATTTGAGAGTAAAGTAGAAGGTCAACAAAAAGAGACACACTCTCAACAAGACAGACTGACACTGATTAGGATAAAAGCCTCCAATAAAGCTACAATTACAATGATGGTACAATATTGTGTAGCGTTTTGTTCTACTTTAATTTGGCATCTAAAAACACAATAAAAATGCTTGTCATAAGCAAAGGTTAAATACATTTCATCATACAGAAGCTGAAAGACTTCAAGACCAGAACTAAGAACTATTTAAAAAGTCTTTCAAATATAAGAAAAAGGAAACTTCACAAAAATTCTAATGTGTACAGAAGAGTAAAGAGCACCAAAATCAAACAAGAACCCTGGAAATAACTGGGAGGGTAAACCTAACACTTCTTTACACAAATGAACACACCCGGTAGAAGCAGTCAAGAAATCAAAAGAAATGGTGCACTGGGGAGATATATGCTGTCAATGACTTCTCCAAAGTTCTAAATAGCAAGGATGACAGTTTAAAAACTAAGGTGCACCTGAGCCAAACCATGGTGTTTTCAAGTGCTTCCTATCCATCTGAAAGTTGGACAATGAATAAAGAAGACTGCAGAATCACTGTCTTTGAATTGTAGCACTGGGGAAGAGTACTGAACATCTCACAGACTACTAAAAAGAACAAACAAATCTGTCCTGAAGGAAGAGCAACCAGACTGCTCCTCAGAAGAAAGGATAGTGAAACTTCACACTTATTCTGGACTTATTTTTAGGAGGAACCAATCCTTAGGGAAAGGTATGCTGAGGAAGGTGGAGGGTCAGAGAAGGAAAAGATGACCTTCAACAAGATGGACTGACATCGTGGTGACAACAATGGGCTTGAACTCGACAGATCTGGTGAGGATGGTGCAGGACAGGACTCACATCTACTGTCACAGGGTTACTTTGAGTCCAAGTTAATTCAATGGTAAGCAAGAAGTTATTTCTTTTTAAAAATCTTTTTAATGGATAACAATTTAAAGCAATAATAATGTACTTAGGTTAATAAAATACACAAAAATAACCTACATAGGAATATAATAAAGATCAGGAAAAAGGAAATAATAGTAGAAGTTTTTATACTATATCAAGTTTACGAGTACAATCATCCACCCACTGATCACTCCATTCCCCATAAATAGTCATAACTAATAAGCAAATAAGAGAGAAAATGAGAATACTAAAAAGCATTTTATAAAAAATAAGAAAAAGGAACAGAAGTGAACAAAAAAAATAGCAAGATAGATTTAAACCCAATTACACTAAAAAAAACAAGTTAAATGTAAATGGTCTGTTCTGTCTATAACTTCATTAAACTGTCACCTTGGCTTCAGACATAAAAAAGCAGTAAGCAAATGCTGCCTATTAAGAAAGTCACATTGAAAATACAAGCCAACAAATGGGGAAGAAAATATACATGTTAACACTGACCAAAAGAAAGCATAGTTATTATAGAAAAGATTTAAAACAAGGAATCTTATCAGAAACAAAGGGATATTTCACAAAAATGAAAGGCACTCAAAAGTATTTTAAACCAACAGACTTAATAAACTACCTTCTACAGAGCCAATCTTCTATAAATAAGATCTCAACAATGGAAATTAAGCATCTACCACTCAGTGAATGATTACTGTAACTCTGCTAATCATTTTTTAAAGCCAATGAATATAAAGAATCCTCCAAAAAAAGAACTATAATACAATGGGCAAATACAGACTTGTTATTAAAAAATGAATTCCGCAAGTGATTTAATTCCCAATGATTCCAATAGTTAGTTATAATCATCAATAGTTATTAATATTTCCTAGTGAAAGCAAAGAATATGAACATTTTAGGAACAAGTCAAAATAGTGCTTACAGTGAGCCACAAAAAGAAGAAAAAATAGAGAATTTTAAGAATTAGGTATCCAAGTTTGTTACACGTACCTTTCTCTTACACTGATGCTTCTGACAGTCCCGCATCTTAACACATTTAGTTTCACAAAGATAAGGTTTATGGCACGGCATTCGTTTCATATGCTTCCCACAGCGACACTGTTTTTCTACTTCCTGAGGAACCAAATAAATGGTATTAAAACTGACTTGTTGACAAGATTATTCAATATTTCAGTTTCTATAATGGCTGAAAAAGAGGGACAAAATTATAATAGCTAATCTGTATCAAAGATTTTACCAAAACTATAGCCAAATAATAGTATACTTAGAAAACCCTAAAGACTAAGCAAGAAAACTACTGGAAATAGTTGACCAATTGAGAGTAGTGGCAGGATACAAGATCAACATACAAAAATCAATTGGATTTCTCTACAGTGACAAAGAGAATATAGTGCTGGAGCTAAGAAAAGCAATTACCTTTCATAATAGCTAGTCACAAGATTAAATACTTGGGAGTACATCTAATCAGAAGCACAAAGGATCTATTCAAAGAGAATTTGAAAACATTATTACAAGAAACAAAAAGAGACCTGGAGAAATGGAAAAATAAACCTTGCTCATGGATAGGAAGACACAATACTGTGAAAATGACAATACTATCAAAGGCAATATATACATTCAATGTAATCCCAATACAAGTACCAATTCTTCAACGACATGGAAAAGGCAATTTCCAATTTCATTTGGAATGGAAAGAGGCCCTGAAAAAGCAAAGCACTCCTTAAAAAAAGAAACAAGGTAAGAGGCATCTTACTCCCTGATTTTAAATCCTACTACACTGCCGTACTGGTCAAGACAACATGGTACTGGTACAATGACAGGCAAAGATCAATGGAATAGAATTGAGAACCTGGAAATAAGCCCCCCGATCTATGGTCAACTGATATTTGACAAGGAGATTAAATCAGTTAAGGGGAGAAACTACAGCCTTTTTAACAAATGGGTGTTGGCAAAATTGGGAAAATATCTGTAGAATACTCAAGCAAGATCCACAACTCACTCCACTCACAAAAACCAACTCAAAGTGGATCAAGGACCTAGGACTAAAACCAAGGACTGTAACTAGAGAAAAGCCTGGAATAACTCTAGAAGCCCTAATCCACAACATCAACAGTCTTCCAAGCTTCCTGAAAAACCTACAACCAGGAGAGGATAAAATAGATGAATGGGACCTTCTAAGAATAAAATCCCTATACACATCCAAAAACTTTTCCAACAGGGTGAAAAGGAAGCCACAGACTGGGAAAAAATATTTGGTAATGATATGTCTGATAGGGAACTTGTATCTAGATTTATAAAATATTTGAGCAACACAACCAGATAAAGAAGCCAATTGAAAAATAGGAACAAGATATGAACAGACACTTCACCAAAGAAGACCTTTAGATGGCAAACCCACACATGAAGAAATATTCAAAATCCCTAGCTCTAAGAGAGATGCTAATCAAAACAACTATATCATCTCACACCAGTAACAATAGCAAAATTTAACAGAACAGGAAACAACAAATGCTGGTGAGGCTGTGGAGAAACTGGAACCCTTTATTCACTGTTGGTGGGAGTGTAAAATCTTGTAACCACCATGGAAGGCAGTATGGCACTTCCTAAAAAGTTGGAAATAGAAATACCATTTGACCCAGCAATTCCACTACTGGGAATATACCCTAACGAAACCAGCACTGCCACCCAAGCAGTTATATGTTCACCAATGTTTGCTGTGGCTTTGTTCACAATAGCAAAGAGCTGGAAACAACCCAAGTGCCCATCAACAAATAAATGGCTAGAGAAGCTGTGGTATATTCACACAATGGAATACTACGCTGCATTGAAAAACAAGGAACTCAGGAAATATGTACAAAATGGGTGACCCTGGAGGACATTTTGCTGAGTAAAATATCTCAGTCACAAAAGGACAAATACTGCTTAGTGCCACTGTTGTAAAACAGGACTGATATCGGAGTTGGGGGGAAACTAAGAGGGGATAAATAATGTATACTGCATTGAAACAGATGAAGTGTTTAGGAGGAATATATGATTAGGTATTATTGTCATGACAAGAGTTCAGAACAAAAGCTGCACAGGTGAGTGGACTGGGGGCGGAACTGTATTAACAACAAAAGAATTTTTTTTTCAAAGAGGAAAGTGACCTGGCAGGTGGGAAGGCGTGAGCAGGGAGGAAAGTGTGCAACAATGAATGAATGGAAATTCAAAGTCCATGTAAATTTTCATTAAAAAAAAAAATTCTGGGAAAAAGGAAAAAAAAATACAGCCAAATTTTCCAAGATGGGTTTTTTTTTTTCATATTTTACCTTATTAAAAAAAATTCATATAAATTCCCACTGCTACCTGAGAAATCTTATAATGAACAGTAAAAAACTTACCAAACATTAAAATCATTTCTATTTTGGGAGAAAATCTATACACCTACCCTGACTTTTGTCCTGAACTAACCAGAGACATTTACAAGACACACCGCCTTGAAAATACTTTTATCTCACAAAAGGCAAGAAAATCAGACTAGTAAGCCAATTTACTGATCTTATATTTCAATCAAGACCAAAGTGGCATATATACATTTAAGATCTGAATTGTGTCTAGCTACTTCTTTAGTTTCATCAGTTTTAGGTCTAAGCACAGTACTAAAGGTCTTCCTGGAATAAACAACCCCAAACTAAAAATGAAAATGCCCAAACTTCTTTTAAGCAAAAGGAAATAAATTTTTCAAATTTGATGCTGGCATACTCTCCTACTTCTTTATCATAAATACTGGGTCACTGAATTCTTACACCTAGTCCTCACATATCTATAATCTTTTTATCTGACACTGCACTTTTACAGTAAGAATAAAATATAAACTATCTATTGCGCACATTAACAAGGAAGTGATCATGGTGGCAATAGCTATGGAGTATCAGCTCCCTCAAGGAGGTCTTAAGGAAGCCTCCAGCAAGCTGGGCCACTGCCCAGTGCCCTCCTCTTCCCTTTGCCTGTGGAAGTACTGAGTCTTGCAGCCAGAGCCTCCAGACCTGAAGGCAGCACTAAACAAGGAAGTGCCAGTTGTGCATTCCGAGATCCTATGCAGCCTGAGCCTTTCAGTTCAAATTGCTCCAGAGAAGAAGAGGAATGAACGGCATCAGAGATGGTGTTGATTAAGTGTGTATGAATGTGATGACATCCTAGACCTAAAGCCTCTGCCTTAGTGAGGCCAGACTCTCAGCAGCTTTGCAGGCAGCTTTTGGCCTCAATGAGTTCTAGAGAGAACACAGGCGCCAGCATCATGAGCATTGGCCTTGCAGAGGTAGTAGCAGGGCCTAGAAGGTACCTCTGACAGGGAAGCTCTGACCTGCACAGGAGGAATGTGAAATGGGTAAGCCTGTGGGCCCAACAGTCACACAGCCTAGTTGTGATTCCTCTGAGCCTTGTCATAGCATTGAATACATAAGTAAATCTTAGTTAAATCTCATTATTTGATACTTTCGAATTTGATAGTCTAAAAACAGAAGAAATAAAAAGCCTCTATTTTCATATAACAATGATTTTCTCATTAACTTGGTCTTTGGAATGTGACCAAGTTGGTAAGTAAGAAATGGGTATAAACATTGTGACATATATGTTTATGAAAGTAGGTAATAATAAACAATCTCAAATCAAATCAATTTGATATATTATAAAAAACAGCTCTTAAAAGTAACTATTAGAGGAGATGACGAACTTGTCTACATGTTTCACAAGGACCTCGATGACAACGCTGTGAACATCTGTGAATTCCACACTCAAGTACTTTGTCACAGCTATCTCCACATGTTGGTACATCTTCTGTACAAGGCAAGGAAAACTCTAAAAGCAGACAAAAACAAAACCAATGTTAATGATATGCTACCATTATACACTGACAACATGGCTTATCCTTCAGGCTACCTACAGAATGAAGCCTTCTCAGACTATCATTTTTGTATCCACACAACTTCTGGGGGAAAATATTAAAAGTTATTCCTAGTATCTAAAAAGAAGTTTATGTTTTTTAAAAGGAATCTATTTTCAAGAAACACATTTTTAGAGGCTACTTTAGAAATATTAAGCCAAAGAAATGAGTTGTTATTACTGTTGGTGCCACTGAGTCAATCATAATTCTTTGTGAACAGATCTGAACCTTGCCCCATCCTGCACTATCACCGTAATCTCCAACATGCTCGAGCACACTGTTAGAGGCAATCTACCTTGTCAAGTCTTCTGTACGTAAGATCACATAACTTCACTGTAAGGATCTACCACAATATACACAATTACTGATGGAAAAATAATTGGGTTTTGGGTATTTTTATTCTTGGCAACCTCAAAGGACATGAAAATAATGAAGGAAGATGTAAAAAAAATTCTGAAAGTCACCTTTAAATAAAACATATAATGTTTATTAGTAAATATAATGGTCAATACTGGACACAGTTTCATGTTTTCTAGTATTTCTGGAGGCTCAGGAAAAAATACAATCATAAATGTACTATTCCTTTATTACAAAGCAACCAAAACTGTATGTAGCTATATTACACAATCACTACACCTTATGAATATTAGGCTCTTATAACGTACTTGACAATATACTATATGATTTACAGGCTTTTTAGAATTTCATTCTCACAATCATATTATGAAAAGTTACAGTAACTGTTCCCATTTAATGTCAGAAAACTATTTATTCATGAAAGTAGGAGCTGAACACAAAGATTTCTGACTCTAAATTGAGTTCATAGCTTAGAACATGTGGTCCTCTCCTCCAAACGTACAAAAATGTACTATCAAATTTGTACTATAACTGAAACTACACTACAAATTCTCAGAGAAAAAACTTAATTAGGAAAATATAGGGGAAAGTTTTTGTGCTTACTAATCTATTATTCTCATTAGTATGTTATATAGTCATACGCCATTAAAGGTATTTTTTTAAAAGTCTTACTTGATTTCTGACATGGACAGAACCTTTTCCCAGATCGAGGGCATTCTCCACAAGCACCAGTATGGCAAACCTGCTCACATGTATGATTACCACATGGCAGTGTTTTTCCACATACCTAAAATGCAATAACCACTGGTAAAAGATTTTAAAGCCAATTAAAGAATTCATAGGACACATAATCCATTTTAAAAAAACTTTTTAAAAAAATGTTAATATTTCTTCTTGCATTATTCATTATTTCATACTGATTTTCCCCCTATACACAAGGATATAATTTAAAATACAATAAAAGGAGAAGAAATATATATACTGCTTCATATGGTCAAACAACAAAACTTTATGCGTGGTACTAAAATAGTGCCACTTCTATAATAAGCAGCCTACAAAATCAATGCTCCTTCCCCACTGGATTAACTCAAAGCAATGGCAATGTTACTGGCTGAAGACAGGAGAAAGAGGTGAAGAGAAAGAGATAGCAATAAATAAAGTACATAAGCACTATGTCTAAACTTAATTAGCACACCTGTTTTGAGTTCTTTTACACTTTCCATGATTTTTAACATGCACCTGTCTAAAGGTATATATACTCGCCTTATCACAGCGCCACAGTGGACTTGCACAACTTCTTTCAGCTACTTGTCTGCCACAGACACACTTCTGTTTACTAACTCTTGGACAGGGCTTACAATTTCCTAAAACCAGAATGATAAATCAGCACAGAATTACCGTAAAAGCATTCGAGATTGCTATGGGTTTTGCTTAAAGTCAAACACCTAAGAGGGTAATCTTTTACCTGCATGACAAGGATTTTCACACTTATGTTGTCCACAAAGTAGCTTCCGCCCACACTGCAGCTGGCAGGACCACTCCTTGGCACTGCATCTACGAGGGATAGGTTTTGCTTTTTTACAGTAACAAGTCGTTGTAACCATCTTTGGACATGGAGGACAAGGTCCTGAGTGGGGAAAAAAAAGCAGGGTAGGGAGTCAAAAGTGAAAGCTTTCAATATCTAAGATTACTAGTAACTTGTTAAGCTTTGCTTTCCTTTCTTATACTTTACTAGGCAATCTCTTTTACTATTTTCTACAGGCAAGTTTAAGTTCTGAATTCAATAGGCTTTTTTAGCTTCAGTGTAAAAAAGAACCACTTACAATTAAAAAAGCCATCTATTGCTCACCTGGATGACAGAGGAGTAAACATTTATGGCCACAAGGAGGTTTAAATTCTCTCTCACATACTTGGCCACATGAGTGAGGCACCAGCCATGGGTCCAAAGGTGGATCTTCTACTTTTCCGCAATAGCAGTAGTACCTACTAGGTGTTTCAGATTGTTTGTATTCAAACCTACATTTCGGACTACAAAGAAGAACTATATTAATAAAGTTAATTTTATCTTTAAAAGCAACCTAAGGGTTAGGAATAGTTAAGACATATATGAAATTTCTGTTAGTAAATAAGTAAGATTTAACTAGAATTCATTTCAACCATTAAGGACCGCTCGAACCAAGAGATTTTCCAGAGATGATGGAACTGTCCCATACTGACACTATCCATAGTTACACTATCTAATACAGCAGTCACTAGTCAAATACGGCTAGTGAATATTTCAAAAAAGCTAATGGATACAAATTAATAGATATTTTACTTTTCATCATTTTAAAAAATTTAAATAGCTCAATGTGGCTGGTTGCTACTGCACTGGCACGTATCTATAATAGTGATTCAAAATGCAAGCAATCTACTTTCTACTAACTACCTGCACACTAATGAGCTTTCTACTAACTACCTGCACACTTTACTCACGAAGCACTAATCCTGATTTGTGTGAAGCTCTAATTTTTTAAAGTTTGATATGTGATTCACAAGTGAATAATGAGCAGACACAAAACAAGAGGTCAGTTGGGTTAAAGGCAGACAATGATAGTAAGAAATATGACTAAAATAAAGATTTAAGGGGCAGGAAGACTTGGAATTAATAAATTCCATCATTCTCAATAAAAAACCTGTCTTGTGCCAAATGTGGCTAAACGGAGGGAAAAAAAAATCTCAAACACAGTTTCATATTCTCAGTTAAAGCAGAGAATTTTTAGACAGCCAGGTTAAATGCTGTACTTCAGCTCTTATTAAAAATTCACTTATAGATCATAGGTCACTTCCTTTTCAAAAATGCTGTAACCTTTAACTATTCTCCAGACAAATGAAGTATTAGTATTCTATACCATAACAATAGTGTGAATCAACTCTTTAAATTTCTTTTGTACTGTTTTAGCTGCCACTGAGTTTGTCCTCAATTCACTGAGACCCCATGCACAAAAAAGACTTTGTGACTCATTAAGTTTTCACTGTCCTGAGAATATGGCCTATTTCTAAATAAAGTCTATATAAATGTGCTGAAAGGTAATTGTTGCTATAATTAATAATCAAAACCAAAATATCAAGCCTCACCAAGAAAAAATGGGCATTAACATTTTCTCTTACAAAAGGAAAAATGTTCACCATTTTTTTAAAGCTACTGCAGAGGGGAATATATACTTTTAATAATTTTAAATATAAATGTTTAAGAGGCAACTCATTAGATTTTAAAACTAGTTGTCAAATGAGATTAAATTGTTCCAGAAGACTAGGGCTAATCAGGGCAAATGTGCAAGTGCATTAGTTTTCTTGGAAAAAGTGCCATACCAACAATGAATGTAATTTTGTTATACCTTGTTCATTAAAGGAAGCCTAAAGGTGCAATGGTTGAAGAGCACAGCTGTTAACCAAAAGGTGTCCATGGGAGAAAGATGTTCCAGCCTACTTCCATGAATATTTACAACTTCAAAAACCCCGTGGGGCAGTTCATCTCTGTTACTATGAGGCACATCTGATCTGACAGGAATAAGTTTGGTTATTTTTGTTCATAAACTAACAGCATCTTGGGTTGTTGAATTGCTGAGTATCTTCAAGTGAGAACCAACTCACAGATGACCCTCCAACTCATTTTCAGACGCATTAAATCACACAGGAGGAGACTGTCCATCTTTCTGCAGGAGATCAACTGGTGTATTCTTACCACTAAGCCATCAGAACTCTTTATCTTCAGCAGAAACTTTTCTTTAAAATTTTTATTTTCACAAAACAACTTATCTAAAACCATGAATTTGTTTATCAAGTTCTAATACTACTTTGTTAAAAATAATTTATCAGAAAAACTATTCATTCCCTTTCTTATAAAAAACGTGGCCACTTAGGTAATTAGTATTTTTTTCCTTATAGTTTTAAACAACAAACAACTTATTGCCACCAAGTTAGAAATGAAGGGAGCTCTAGTGTCAAATGCAATAATGGTTACCCATGGTGGACAGTATCTGGTGGAGCTCCTGATTAAAACAAGCTTGGAAGCAGGCGTGATATCCACTTCCGTAATATCTTGCCTCCAGATACCCTATGGACCTGGAGAAAGGATGAAAGTCACACAATGTCGAGGACTTTCGTTCATAGGGTTGCTATGAGTCGCCTACGACTCGATGGTCACTAACAACAACTAGTGGCAAGAAGCTGCACGGCAATCCCAAAGTTAGAAAGGAACCATAGCTGACCTGCAGTGTGGGTTTTCAGAGGCTGTAAATTTCTCAGGAGGAGACTGCCTACCTTTCTCCCATGGAACAGCTGGTGGATTTGGCCTTCCTGCCTTTACACTGGCAGCAAAACTCTCTATCCACTAGGTCAACAGAAAGGATCAATTCATTTCTTTCTTAACTGGTACTTCAAACACAAGAGCAAAATGACAATCAAAAGAGAAATGAGAAGAATGGCAGTGAGAAAAAGATACTTAAGGTTTAAATATCTGGAAATAATAAACTGGAATATTTTATTTAATTCTATACCTATTAGGAAAATAAAATTTCTCTGTAATAAGTATTATACAGTATTAAGAGAGACTGAGATTGTAAACAGCTTTAGTTTGCTTGGCTCCACAGTCAACACTCTTGGCACCAGTAGCCAGGAAATTAAAAGATGTACTGCATTGGGAAAGTCTGCAGTCAGAGACCTCTCCAAAGTACTGAAGAGCAATGATGTCACTCTGGAGATTATAGTGCGCCTGATACAGGCCATGGTCTTTGCAATCAATTGCTATGCATCAGAGAGCTGTACAATGATGAGGGATGATAAAAGGAGAGTTGATGTCTTTGAGCTAAAGTGTTGGAGAAGAGTACTGGATATACCATGGACTGTTAAAAGAGAACGAACAGGTTCATCCTGAAGAGGGTTAAACTAGACTGCTCCTTGGAGGCAAGTATTCTGAAGCTTCATCTGACATACTTTGGACATGTTGCAAGGAGCGCTCAGTCTTTGGAGAAGGATGTCATGCTTGGGAAGGTGGAAGGACAGCACAGGAGAGGAAGACTCTCAATGAGATGGATTGATTCAGTGACTGGGGTAACGAGGGTAGGTATGTCAGAGAAAATAAGGTTGACACAGGATAGAGCAGGGTTTAGGGCTGTTGTACACAGGGTTGTTATGAGTTGCAGGTGACTCAACAGCACATAACAACGACAACAACATCATTAACACAAGACTCTAAACTTTTGAATTGCTTCAGAAATGAAAATGAAAACAATTATCTCTAAAAGCAATACTACATGACAAAATCAGGTACAAAAAACCCTCAAAAACCCAGCACTAAATTTATAACTTAAAAATCCCAAACTTCAAATCTTGCTGTTAGCACTTACAAGTGGACTCTGAACATATTATGTAACTTCAGTAATCAATATCCTCATCGGTGATGCAGGAATTAAACAGATTTCTGAGACCTGTTTCTATAGAGTAACTAACCAAACCCACTGCCATTGAGTCAAATTCTGGCTCACTAGAACCCTGAAAAGACAGAGTAGAAATGCCCTATACAGCTTCCAAGGCCATAATCTTTATGGAAGCAGTCTGTCACATCTTTCTCTCACAGAGCAGCTGGTGGAGTCAAACTGCCACCCTTTCATTTAGCTGATAAACACTTAACTACTGTAGCAACTCACTCACTGGCATCAAGTCAGAACCCACTCATAGCTGGGCCTCCAAAGGGTTTTCAAATACTGTAAATCATAGGGAAGGAGACTGTCCATCTGTCTTCTGCGGAGCAGCTGGGGATTTGAACCATGGGCTTTTGCACTGGCAACACAACTCCTCACTCATTAGGCCACCAGCGCTCTCCCCACTAGTAACCAGCCAGTTAAAGCGGTTTTAGAAAACTACAGCACCACAATTTTACAAGTATATTGCTCTTTACAGTAAAAGAGGTCTGATCCACATCTAGGTTTTTTCTAAGGCATGAACCTTACATGATTTGAAGGCCTCTGTTTAAAATAACCAACCAAACAAAAAAAAACTCCCCAGGACTAGAATCTTAAAATCAAGTATTAAAGAAAGAGAAAATGAATGTAAATACCCTAAGTCTATAATGTTTCTACTTCATTATCTAGTCAGCAAATCTACACTCTGGGCCAGTGTGGATGAAAACTCTTATTTAGCAGAGATATAAAACTTTTATTTCCCAACTCTTTATAGAAATACAGGACACAAGTTCAAGACCATATAATCATTAATACTATGCCAAACTAAAATAAATGCAGACAACTTAATGAAATTTATAATATACACCTGCCAGCTTAAGGGATTCTAAAGATAAAATTGGAAAACTGTCATCAAAATATATTAGCTGAGCCTTTAATTACTATTCACAATAGAAACTCTTAGAAGAGAACTACCAGAATTATGAAAAATCCTCTGCCCTACAGAACAGACATAAAAGGCTAATAAAAAAGTTGTTTTGCTGGGGGGGGGGGAGGTTGGATAATGTATTCTCAATCAAGAATAAACAGTAGTTACACCATATGGGAGAAACAAAACTACCAAGGTCCCAATTCATCACAAAATAATTATCTGCCTATTCAACATGAATATTCAAACTGCAAATAAAGTAACTTATGATCTATAGTATTCTACAACTCAATATCCCAACTAAAACAGAAAAAATTACCAAGGCCAGGGGTAATCCTTCTTTCCAAAATCGTCATCAGTTAAAGAAGATACAAGAAACTGGCTGTCCTTGGCCCACTTCTGGATACAAGGCATGTGAAATATACAGAAACATCCTGAACAGCTCCATACCTATGACAAAAGTCAGAAATTAACATACTTGTAATCATCTTACTTCAAATAAGCATCATGTTAAATTATTTTCAAGAGCTACCTAAAGGGAGCTCTGATGGACTAGTGACAAGAAGCTGTGCTGCAATCCCAAAGGCTGCTCCACAGAAAAAGGATGGACAATCTCCTCCCGCACGATTAACTACCTCTGAAAACCCACCAGAAGGTCAGTTATGGGTCAGTTCCGACTCTACAGTACACCACAACAACCACCACCACCTAAAGATTACCTTAAATCTTTCTAATATAAAAGAAGAAATGTTCTTCATAAAAATATTAAAATGTAGAACATTTAAAGAAAAATATACATTAATGACTCAAATGCATTGAGCTGGAAATAACTAAGGTTAACATTCTGAGTGGTCTATTTTCTCAGTCAAAGGAGAAGATACAAAATGTTTGTCAAAGATATTTAAATAACATGATTCTTTATAACTGTGTGACACAGAATGCAGATTTTTGTACCATAATTTACTTAAGCAATTTCTTATGACTGGGCATTTTTCTTTATAGTTATGAACATTATAATGAAGTCCTTTAACATAAATATGTATCTCTATAAACCTCTTTTTTTATACAAAACCTATTAGTCTGTCACTTACAGTTCTAAATTCTAAAAATTATGTAACCTAAACACTTGAGCATATATATATAACATTTTAAAATTTAGGAACACTAAAGTCTTAAAATATTCTGAACCATCAGTGTAAAGAAAAAAATTCAGTTCTCTTTTTATTATAACAAAGCTTTTTTTATAAAACCATAGACACACAATATATTGACTTTGCTGAAAACAGTACTAAAAAAAAACAAAGCCAACTTCTTAGTTTGGGCTACCCCAAAAACAGAGCCTTTGAATAGAGCCTACTGGGGACTTGAGTTGTATCTGAATAAAGTTTCTCCCAATGATCATAAACACTTCCAACAGGGACTTCAATACTGTCTGTGTCTCTATCTATCTGTTTCACTGCTGTCAAGTCAGTTCTCCCTCACGGAAAACCAAAACTGAGTTTCCAACATTGTAAATTCCAAAAGGAGACGACTGTCCATGCTTCTCTCAAGAGTCACAGGTAAATCTGAACTGCTTCAGAGCTCCCTCAAGACTACAGCAGCTCACTGATTAATAGTTAAACTGCTAGGCTCTCATCACTTAAAGGCAGGAATCATACCTTTTAATTAACCTAGAGAATGCAACAATATATATTTTATTATCTCAGCATTTCTGGTAATCACTAAGGTATTGATGTTAAAAATGATGCAACAAATCAATTTGTGAACAGATATTTGCTCCAGTTTATTAATAATACTAAAAATACTAGACGCTCATATAGGGATAAATTTGTTAATACTACAGATTTACCAAATGAAGATCAATTCATACCCAAAATAATAAAAACCTCAAATGAAGCATTTAGAAATAAAAATTATAACTGCATAATATATGGCCATGTATTACGACTGCAAAATAAGATCTTTCAAGAATATAAATTACAAAAGATGAGGAGAAAACTTACTGCTTGGTTTCTCTTCACTGAAGCAATACATATTAAGCATGTCATAGCTCCTGCTTGAAATGCTTCATTTACATACTGTTTTGTCCGTTCTAATTCACGTGTATCTCCATCTTGAAATTTAAAAATTTAAAATATCAAGTTTAGCAATTTCTAGAAATAACAAACATACTAATAGCAAAATATCATGTGAGAACTACATGGTAATACTGACTGCTCAAAATATATAGCTAGAAAACAATACAGTGAAAGAAGGGGGAGAGATACCTTAAAAGCTGCCAAGAAGTCAAAAAGTTCATGTATTAAGTCTTACGTTATAAATTCAAAAACTAAACTTTGGCATTCTCAAACGCGCTTGCTTTTAATAGGAAAGAATAACAAGATGTAAAGGAAAACATACCAAAGGGCAAAGTTTAAAAAGAACTGGAAAATCAAGCTAGGTACAGCTACTTAAGAGAGAGAATGTGTGGATGTGTTTTTATGTCTAGCAAAGCAACTTCTGAAAACCTGATTGTGGTTTGAGTAAGAGCAAATAGGTTTTACATTCAACTATTGATACACCTATTTTTAAGGAGACTGAATATAATCCTCACATTATAATGGCACTCCACCCACCCACCACTATCCCTTCCTACCATATGAAGTGCCCTTTGTGATTCTGAACACTTGCCTGTCCTAAGAAGTGAGTTCACCTGGTAGGCTTGTTTGGCTGAAACCTTGAGCCACGGTAGTGATCAAGTTCTAGGGTGTAAGGGTTCCTAAGAGTACTATTCTTGGCAGTTCTACTAGTGTCTTGGAGACCCATATATCTGGTCATGGTTATGACTCTTATGTTGTGTTCCTTATTTTCCATCCACTGTGTCCAGGATCTGTAGTTATTCCTTTCAGAGGTTTAACAATTGGGCAACATTTCATTCTTGCAGTGTTAAGGCGATTGTGGTCATGGTGATCCATTAGTATTCTGAACTACTGCCATGTCTTTTTCCTTTTTTTTGACACACGGGGAGAGATCAATAGTTGCACCTTAGCAACTGACAAAATTTTACAATCCCAGTTAAATATGGTACATTCTTTAAAAGAATGACAAATCTTGTTGAATAATGAACTTAAAACATAGAAGAGTCTAAAAAGTCATTAGCGTATTAATCTTGTTAATCAAATTATGTTAACTATTTCTACTAAAAAAGGTAATGTTTTTAAAAAATTCCTAGATTTACTTTCTTGAGGTATTTACTAAGTATTATTTATAAAATACCATATTACCAGTACTATGAAGGATTAAATAAATGAGTGTCCCTATTTTACAGATAAAACAACTGAGGCAAAGAATAATTAGCAACTTGTCTGACTCCCAAGTACTTCAGCCTGCCCTCACAGTGTACTTCCTTTTACTGCTGTTATAGCCCTTAACAAAGTTTACATCTCTCTTAGGAAAGAGGAGCAAGATGCACAGGAAGAAGGGAAAGCACACCAAAAATCAAAGTGTGAAGCTTTCAATCATGCAGCTGTAGAGAAAGGTCAATGTAGATGCATTCAAGTAGTAACAAGTAACAATAAAAACAAATATATACTTATTCAAACATGCTATCAAAAAGTCAGAATTTAGTGTATGAGAAATAAGCCAATCTATGTTTAATATACTACACATTGCTCAATAAGGTTTGAGTCTCAAAAAAAGTAGAATGACAACATAAACTACCACAAGGGTAGAACTTATCAAAGCAATAAACAAGTTGCCAAAAAGAAAAATTAAATATATAGGACACTTTGATAATACTTTCGTTTCTAAAACCACCTTTCAGAAGAAAGAGGGAGCCTTGGGCCTTAGTGGTAAGCAGTCTCACTGCCACCCCAAAGACAGAGGGTTGAAAGTCACCAGCTGCTCCACAGGTGAAAGATGGGCAATTTCCTCCTGTGTGCTTAACTGCCTCTAGATACCCACTGGAGGGTCAGTTGTTTCTGACTGGAGGGTATGTAACAACAGAATCAACTAGGTAATCTACAACAATGAATGAATGGAAATCCAAAGCCTTTGTAAATTTTCACTGAAATTAGTAACAAATTTAAATTTTAAAAAAAGAATTAAGTTAGAGTAAGGATGGCAATGGATTTATAACCACTCAGGCTAATAACACTATATCGTGGCATGGAGGAGGAATAGTGGAAATATATTCACATTTACAACATTCCTCTTACCAAAACCATTTATGGAAAATAGGTACTGCACTGGAACATGTATCTCTGGATTAGAAATGATGATATTGTTAATACTTCTAGCCTTAAGCTTAAAAGATTATAATGTTCAAAATTATTTGTTATACATTTGCTTAAATTTTTCCCTCTTTTAACAACTGGGATCTAGAGGGAAAAGACCAGAGAATGGCCAAAATTATTGGGGCAGCTATTGCTGCCAGTTCAGGGCCTGTGTCAGGAAAAGGAAGTCTTACTCAGATACAGTGCCACCCAAAGGTAATAAAGGAGGTCAGAATTGCTTCCACTGTGGAAAGCTGGGCCACTTCAGTAGACAGTGTCACAGACGAGAGCCACAGATAGGCAAGGGAGTAGAGAGGAAGCTCCCACTCACTTGCTTTAAGTGTGGCTCTGAAGGACACTTGGCCAACGTGGCCCACATCAGGTCCTTGTGGCAGACAGGACTGACAGGCCCCAGCTCCCAGCTGGAAACAAAGGAAGACGCTTCAACAATTTAGATCCTCCCAGAAGAGCTGTGGATGAGCATTAACATTACTGGTAAGTATATTCATTTTCTCCTGGACACAGAGCCTACTAATTGGTCCTAAAAGCCTTCTGAGGTTCCAACTCTTCTCACTATCTCTTAGTTGTTGGAATGGACGGAAAACCTCATAAGCAGTTCCTCACTTCATCTCTACCTTGCATGCAAACTTCCGAGTTGTAAAACAACCCAGTGGTAGATGGAATTTGCTCCAGGACTTAAGAACCATAAATGACATAGCTGAGCCTCTACATCTTGTGGTTCCTAACCTCTACACTATAATAAACAAAGTGCTACTCTATAGGCCTTTTATAGTAAGAACCACCTTCCCTCTGTAACTTGATTTGTGCCACTATTAGAACCTCTACTTGGAATATTATTGCTTTTTAATTTTTGACTCATGTACTTTTAACTTGTTAGTTAAATTTGTATCTTCTAGGCTGCAACACTTCCATGATACATCTTCAAGGATATGAACATGTATGGCTAAGCACAATTCATAAGAGTGAATCTAAATTCCAAAATCAATCTCCATAATAGTCTATTTGTTTCCTACTGCCAAAGGGGCCCTTTAGAGTAGTGAGAGAAGATCTTCACCCTGAAACCCACAGCGTCCCTTTTCAGCAGGAAGTAGCTAAGAGAATACGCCATCCCCTTTTCCTTATGAATCAGGGTGAAGTCTCTCTCAAGGAGGAGTGATAGGGAACGGCAAAGGACACACTGACAAAGGAGATTAATCAGAACTGGCTTTGACAAGCACTGTGGCAAATGGACAATTAAAACAGACATTCGGGGGGCGGGAGAAGAAGAACGAACTAGGGAGGAGGGTAGAGAAAACAGTGCAACAATGAATGAATGAAAACTCAAAATCTCTGTAAATGTTCATTAAAACTAATGAAATTTAATAATAATTTAAAAAAAGAAAAATCAACTAGGTAAGTAAACAGAGCACTTAAAAAATTTGCCCTTCTCCCTGTCAGGTATAAACAAGGGAGAAAAGCAAAAATGCATAAAAATAATTAGTTCAAAGGAATTAACAGACTAGCAAATCTAACTTGCACGACCTTGAGACAGGAAGAACTAGACCACTCTAAAAAGGCAAGCATGGAGAGAAATATGGAACACAATTAGAGAAGCACCACTCCTTAGAATCACCGACCACAGTAAGGTCAAGGAGGACCATCTACCTAAAGACAAATCCCTGAAGGTATTCAAGTGTAAGGTTAAGTGTAGGGTTAAGAGAATAGAAAATTGCAGGAAGAAGTAAGTAAAGTGAAAGTGTGTACCAATGGTTGAATAATAAAAACAATCATCATTTTAAAAAAAAAAGTTTTGTAAACATTTACTCAAAGTACAGTAAGAATCAACCACTGGAAAATTTCATAGGGCACAGTTCCGCCATATATACGGAACCCAAAAACTGAACAAAAGTGATGGCAAATTCCTTTATAGAGTTGGGTTTTTTTTTTACTTTAAAATATTTCTGTGTGACAAAACGTACCCCAAAATAAATGGAAAAACAAACAAAAAAACTCCTTTGCTCATTGTTATATAAATACAATCACAGAAATATAATTGTAATTTAGCAAATGAAATAAAATAACATATAAAAGCAATCCCAAAACAATCAAATATTTTAAAATTACTGAAGACAACTGTTTTTCTTCAAGTACACACTGACATCTGTTAAGTTATCCTAAAATCAGACTTACTAATCATGTTCTTGTTTTGCTTCTCAATATAGCTGGCTTTAACAACTACGTATTGTTTTAAATTTCAAATAATTTAACAACTAATTTCTAGTATTTACGGGCCACATGGAGGAAGTTTTGGGAAATTAAATCTAACTTTTGGGGGAGGGAGTTAGGCTGCTGACCCAAAGGTGGCTGCTGACCCTCTGGCAGTCTGAATACACCAGCAGTTCTGCTCCATGAGATCAAGATGGAAAAGCCTCTCCCATATGATTTACAGTCTCCAAAACCCTGCTGGAGGGTCAGCCATGAGTCGGATCCAACTTGAGAGAAGTTTCTCTGTGTACAAAATTTGTTTAAGACTTCCTTTAAAATTCTACTTAAAGTTTGACTGCAGTAATATAAGGTGCTGCCTAGCATGTCACTTACAGAAAGCATAGCACTTGAAGTCATGCATATTAAAAAGATCATTCAGGAAACTGAAGAAAAATTAGTATAAGGAAGGTAAAGCCAGAAGCAAAAAGTATCAAGAAGCAGAAGAGATAAACAAAACCTTGACCATAAACAAGCTATCTAATCTGTTTTTCTCTGTAAAATAGTAGTATTATTAGTATCTACTTCAGTTATTATTTTAATTTAATCCATATGTTAAATAGTTTATAGTTCCCTGAACTAAGGCAATTTGTGTGGGGAGAGAGGTAGCCATAAGAAACAAAAGAAGTGGAACTCAGCAGACCTGAATGACAATTAGAGCATGCCAATATCCAGAAGCAAAGTGTTGTGTTTGATGAGATGTCAGGCACAGGCACAGGGCAGATATTGGTAAATTATCCTTAGACCATGAATCTGCCATCCTTGCTCTCAGGTTTCTGGCTTAGGTGGGGGACAAGGGACATTTTGGTACTACTGACTGAGATAAACAAAAAGTAAGGGGTCATCTTTCAATAGAAGTCTGATGTACCTGTGGGCCACACACACTCTGATACTAACTAAAAGGTTAGAAATTCAAGTCAACTTAGAGGTGCCTCCCAAAGGGCTGGAGATCGACTTTCAAAAATTGGTCCCTGGATATCATATGACCCAGAATTCTACTGTGACACATGGGGTTCCTACAAGCAATAATCAACTTGACAACCACAAAAGAGTAAATTCCTTGGGAACTCATGTGACAGAATGCACCTATCTTCAAAATTTCATCCATATACTCAGAAATCAACTCATTATCAAGGTCCTAGGGGAAAAGTGTGTAGGGAGAAGTGAACCACATCAATCATTCTGCTTCAATACATGACTAACTCTCAGCATCTTGAATTGTCTAACTCTTACTCTGCCATGCAACTGCTTATACTGTGCTACAAAACTGCCTTAAAACTCTTTAAAAAGTACAAAACAGTAACTAAGGAATATCATTGTATTGTTAGGTGCTAAGAAGTCAGTTTGAATTCACAGAAACCCTAAGTAGAAGAGAACTGAATCCTACTTGATTTCTGTGCCACCCGCACAATCTCTGCTAGACTTCACGCTCGACTCTCACTGACATTCAATTCAGAACCTGTTCATGGCTTAACCTCCCAGTTATTTTCAGAGGCTGTAAGTTGCACCCAGTAAGACTGCCCATCTATTCTCCACTGAACTACTGACATACTCCAACTGACAGATTGGTGCTGCTGTACTTGTTTTTAGGTGTCATCAAGTCAAGGATGACTCACAAAGACTCTATGTACAAAAGCACTGAAGCCTTACTTTCCTCTGCCATTCTCATCATCTCTACCACACTTGAGCCCATTGTTGCAGTCTTAGAGAATGGCAAAAGGTATCACCGGCTTATGATCAACTCAAGAACAAAAAGAACACATGATAAAAGTATTTTATAGGCAAAAAGGATAAAAGAGACAGTAGAAAACAAGTCTAATAATCAAGCTCACAATATGTACTAAAAATACTTATCTAGCCTTTAATCAATAGTGTTGGAGAAGTCTCATGGACAAAGAACAAACCAGTATGTCTTGGAGAAAGAGCAGCCAGAGTGCTCCTTAGAGGCAAAGAGAAAAAGCTTTAGTTCACATACTTCAGGCATGTTGCCAGGAGAGGAAATTCCCTGCAGAGGGATATCACACTTGGGAAGGTGGAGGGACAGCAAAAGAGATGAAGACCCTCCACCAGGTGGATTGTCACAGTGATGGTAGCAATGGGCTCTAGTGTGTCAAAGACTGTGAGGATGGCACAGGATTGGATAGGGTCAGATCTATTGTTCATAAGGTCATTACAAGTTATCACATGATACTTGACTCTATGGCACCCAACAACAATCATAAATAATTTACATACAGTGACTCATTTAATCCAAAGAATTCTATAGTGTCTATCATTATATTGTAGCCAGTCTAATTCTATCTTTATACTAATTTTTTGGATGAAGAGACTAACTAAAATCCAAGACATAAAACAGCATGCCAAAGGTCAGAGAACCAGTAAATAGCAGAGCCAAGATTCAAACCTTGGCAATGTGGCAACAGAGACCAATGTTCTCAAATCATTCCAGGCTTTCCTAGTACACAAAAAGAGTGTCAATCACTTCTATATTATGTGTTTTGTTTTTTCTCACAGAAAATGCAACTCATAACGAATGGCTACAAAGCTAAGTAAACCAGGCTTACGCTCAGCTCTGCCATTTACCAATTTCGTAATTCTAGGAAAGTCACTTCTCTGCAGAATTGTCCCTAGAAAATTCCCAATTTCTTCTAGTTCTAAAATGATGGCAAAGAAAGAAAAGAACATACCAAGAGCATAAACATGCATTACAGAAATAAGAGTACATAAACAATTATTATTCATATATTAATAAAAAACTGATTATATATGTAAGAATGTTGTTAATAATAACGTTAAAGTGTAATGTGGAAAACTCAAGAGCAATTACACTGAAAATAATCTATTTTTATACTCAAAACTAAATTGTGCTCAGAACACTTTGTGGCTTTCACAGCAATCTAGATATATACAATGGATGTCACTGTACATTTCACCCTAAGGAAACACTTAAGATATAAAATAAAGAATAAAGTCAAGCAATGAAGTAGACTTCAAGACACAACATGAAAAAAAGAGAATAATGAAGAATAGCTTGGAAGGTATACACAAAGTCCTCAAATCCACCCCAGTCCAAATAAGAAATTATTTGAGCTGCATCACAGCATTCTAACAAAATATCCATTAAACACATGTAGACAACTTTTAGAGCTGTGAAAAAGCTAAGTTGTCATCTAATTTACTTTGTAAAAACATTGATTAGTGTTATGTAACAAAGATCTCAAAAAAGACATTTAATATTGCCGCACACTTTTTAAACTGAGGACCATGCTTAGAAACACATTTGCCATCATTTGTGGTAACATGTTAAAAAAAATCCATAGAAATGCAATGCAACACAACAAAAAAATTCTCATTCTTACTATATAAAAACCACTGCACAGAGTATAGTTATTACTAAAAAATGTCAGGAGTATATTTTCATTGACATAAAAAATAACAAGATTTAAAAGGCAAGTACCTGTTTGAGTAGTATATGTTATAAATGTATTAGCAACTATTTTTCCCTGTTTTCCTTCTAAATCATCTTCTTCATCTTCAGATGAAGAGCTAAAATGTTCTTCAACAAGTTTTCTCACTGCAGCTTGATTCGCTTTCTTGATTTCTTCAAATTTCCTCTGAGACATTAACTCTATTTAAAAGGAGGGGAAAAGGTTTTCACTTATGTATAACAATCTCTCAAAAAGCAAAGCATGATGTACTAAGATACCATTTCTAAAACATTAAACTTGCATCTAACAGGGACTTTTGGCACATTCTGAAACTCATGAGAAAGGGAGCTGTGCTGCACACTCTTCAAAGCCACCAGCTGCTTGGCAGGAGCAGTCTCCTCCCCTGACACTGTCTCTGAAAACCACCGGAGGGTCAGCAATGAGTCAGTTCCAACTCGATTGTACACAGCAACATGCTTGCTGAAACAAAACTAATCAGAGCACAGCAACAAAAATTTTTACTTCTAGAACTATGTTAATATTCTCAGAAAATGTTAAGAAAGAGACTGAATAACAAAAAAAAGCAACAACAAAAAATCCCCACCAGTTAAACTGTAATGTAAGTATGGGGGGAAAAAAAACACCCAAATCCTGGTGATCAATCTCAAAACAAGGTCTTCAAGAAATTTAAAATGGGATTTTTTTTTCCAATATATCATACACGGTGAATTTTAAAACATGGACAAACACCTTTGCAGCTCATGATATTTTATTTCCTTCATGAAATGTTTTCCTTTTCTTGTTACAGTCAGTTTCATTAAAGATCATCCAATCAAATCAAATGGATACAGAGCCCATAGAGAAGCATCTCTGGGTAGTAGGATAAAAAGAATGGATTATTCTAAGTGAACTAACTCAGGCCCACAAGGACAAATGTTGTATAAAACCATTATTATGGGATGAGTATAAGGATCCAAGGAGGGGGAGGGAAAGTGGAAGCAGAGGGATGAGGATGTGAAGGGAGAGAGGAATTAATCATAGAGTTGTACAATTTGATGTGGGGGCAAGGGAAATTTGAAGACTTTGTTCTGGAAAACAATGTATTCAAATTCTGTAAATAAATGAGTATAATAATTTAAAAAAATGGCTTCTAAATTAGTTACAAAAAGAAACATGACTGACCTTTGGAAAATCCACTAACAGAATACATTCCAATTCATGGTCCCCTATAGAACAGTCAAACTGTCCCATATTGTTTCTAAAGCTATAAATCTTAATGAAAGCAGACTCTCATCTTTCCTCTATGGAACAGCTGGTGGGTTTGAATTACTTAGCAACCACCACCAGGGTTCCTAATTAGTATGAAAGGGTACATTTTTATTTATTTATTTTTTTTTTTTTAAAAAAAAGGCTGACACAAGTGAATAATGAGAATGTTAATAAACTTATCTACTTATCAGTTCAAGGAGTCCTAGGGGCTCAGCAGTTAAATACTAAACTAGCTGCTTTCCAGAAAGATGTACAGCAGCGGAAATCCTGAGGAATAGTTTCGACTCTGCCCTTAAGGGCTGCTAAGTAGTAATTGGCAGCCTGAAACAGGCAGCATCAGCTGAAGGAAGGTTAGAGGCAAGCTGACATAGCAACCTTGCCATATATAGAGAGTACCCCACTTACAAAGCATGCCTGCAACCGTCTGGCTTTGGGGTTTTCACACCTTAAGTATGGGACTCAATGAAAATACTCCTTAGAGAAAAGGCTTAACATTAATGAATCAAGCTGTGTTTCTTCAAAGCATAGTAGACTTAGTAGCTAAAGCATATTATGCAAATGGCCTCATGGCCACCACACAGGAACTGGCTCATTAACTGACCCTCTAGTCGGTTCTCTGAGGCTATAAACCACACAGGAGGAGACTGTCCATCATTCTCCCACTGAGCCACTCTCCCAGAGCTCCCTCTAAAGTATATAAACCGCCTTTAAGTTATAAGGAACTCTGATAGCATAATGTATTAACAGGGAGAGATATATGCATAATACGACAAGCTGCTAACTCACAGGTCAGTAGTTTAAACCCACACTAGCTGCTCTGGCCGTAGAAAGATGGACAGCTCCCTCCCATAAAGATCTACAGCATCAAGATCAACTCAGTAAGAGTGGGTTTGGTTTTAGGGTTTGATTGTTAATATTAAGTTCTATGTATATAATGTTGCACTGGAGCATTTGTTGATGTCATTTTCAGATTTTCCCTTATAGCAGATATTCAATATTAAATTTACCATAAAGGAACCATGGTGGCATACTGCACTAAAGTGTTGGGTTGCTAATTACAAGGTCAGAGGTTCAAATCTGACAGAGCTGAACAGCCACTTCATGAAAGAGAAAACGAGGCAGCGTGCACCTATTACAAGTTATTGTCATAATTTCCCGTCATGTCAGAAGTGACATGTTGGTTTCAGAGGTTATAAAATGCACAGGAGACGACTTAATTTTTCTCCACAAAACAGCTGGTGGGTTCAAACCTCCCACCTTTTGACTGGCAGTGCAACTCCTTACCACCAAGCCACCAGAACTTCCTTGTCATAGCTTCATTAACCCATCGTAGTGAACATCACTATGAACAGGAACTGGCTCAACAGCGGTGTGTTTTGGTTGGTTTAAAACACTACTATAGAGCAGGTTACTGCGTGGTCTACAATGAAGTCAGTGCCAGAAGTTAGGACAGGCCGTTGGGCAACATTCACCTCTGACATGTGACTACTGAGCTGCGCCAGCATCAGCCTGTCATCTGGACTCTGACTTTATTACTGATGCTAAATTCCCTGTAAACCAGATCTATAGCATGATCTTATTCAGAGGTTCATACCATGAGACAGTTACTAATTTGAAATAAACTATTTAACTTACAACAGAAATTACATCATAATCGGAATGGAAATCAATGCTAACTAAGGACTTTCTACTTATATATAAGTAGTTATTTATAGTCAGATCTCAGTTATTCAAGAACAAATACTGGCTTTTTGCCTGCTAGGCACAATACGTAAAATATTTTTACCAAACCTGTCCATAGGCCTCCCTCACCACCACATCCAGTCAAACTCAGGAACTGAAAGCTAAGAGGGCCCACCTAATTTCTTTGCTTGGGAGTAGAGGGGACAAGTCTGAAGTTCGATGTGTGTCTTTCAAAAATCTTATTTAATTAATGTCCAAATACAAGATTAATTCAAGGAGACTTGCACGCCTCCACTAGTATAGAGAAATGAGAGCACTTAAGTGCCAAGCAGATCCAGAAAGACACGGGATGAGATGTACTGAAGCAACATCAGACACATCACTGAGAAGATAAGAACTTGACCAGCAGGTACCACTGTCTAGGAAGGTGCTACAAGCTCAAAACTTACAAGGCATACCAAAGTAGAGGACTTAGGGGATGCTGATGGGGATACTCAAGCATAATATAAATGGGATTTCTAGGACTCACTACAGGTGACTATGCCTTACAATAAGGGAGGCAAGCCATAAGAGCTTACTTAAAAATAGAAATTATTAATCGCATAGTACGGGATTTTTTTTTTAAATGCTGCCAACCGATTTAGATTTAAAGTAGTGTTGTTAGCCAAACCAAAATCAGAAGCCCTGCCACAATTGACAGTGTTACTGCTCTAGAACCAGGCAGGGGAGGGTGGAGGGTTGGAAGAAGTGAAGGGGAAAGTGCTAGGCAGAAAAATAACAAAGACATATTAAAAGCATAATGAAGAGGATTGTGATGGGAATCTGCAAGGGCCAAGAGTCTTGGAGACCCGCGACCGGAGCTAAAACACGCCTCCAGGGAGAAGTGAAGGAGCGAGGCGGCGGCCTGGGTTAGTGCGGACGCTGGGGGCGTTCTCACCGCCGGCCACGGCAGTCGGCGGCGCTCCGGACCCCGCGGGGCTCTTCCCGGCCGCGGGGCTCTTCCCGGCGGCGGCACCTGCGCCCGCAGCTCCTCCACGACCCGGGCCAACGCGAGCGGCGCCCGCCGACCCCGTCTCTCGACCTCCGCCGGCGCCACGGAGGGGGACTCCATTTCCCGGGGAGGGGGCCGCACTGCCGCGCCCTCGGGCGCGGCCTCGGCCACCAGCCACCTGGCGCCAGGCAGCTTCCATACCTGCAAAAGGGAAAAAAAGTGAAAGGAGCGTGAGTGTGGTGGATGCCAGCTCGGAAGGAAGGGGCGGCTGAGACCCCGGCGTGAGGCGCAGGGAGGGGAAGAGGGTCACTGCAGAGCTGGGAAAGGGTTGAGGTCCGCGGGCCTGGCTTTCCCGAAGGGCGAGTGCCCGCTAAGCTCAGCCTCCGGAGATGGACCACAGGGGGATGGGCAAGGAAGAAAAATAGGCTAGGAACACCCAGAACCAAAGAACATGAGCTCGGGAAAGGCAAAGGCACCCCAGCCTCAGGCGCGGTGAGAGGGAGACCGAACTGACCGCGCCACAGATTCCAGCCAACAACCCACTGCAGTAACCTACCCCAAGGAAAGCTACGTCTCCTTACCGGCAGTGCCCGCCCCTGGCGACTACAACTCCCACAAGCCCCCGCTCATGGCCAGCTGAACGCGTGGCAGCACGGACCGCTTCCTTATCCGAGGGGACCAGAGCTGGGGAGGGTGGAGCTACCGGCGCATGCGCTCACTGAGCCAGGCCTTTGACAACTACAACTCCCAGCGTGCTCTGGGTCTGTGCCCTTACAGGGTAATAGGTTGAGTTGAGATTCTCCTTGGTGCTGTAAACTTCAAGGATTTGCATTGCCAACCCAAAGACCACACGTTTCTGGACTGGTTTAAATCTACTAACGTCTTTGAGGGAGGAAGACATGGCAATTTTCCATGTGATTTATAGCCTCAAAACCCACTGGAGGGTCAACTATGAGTCAGTTCTGATTCCTCAACAATGAGATATTGAAGAGACGCCCATGACTGGCCTAAGCCAAATAGATTTAAAGAGTTCCTTAGAAAGGAACTGGCTGTTCTTCATCTTTAACCTTGCCTTGGGCCGTCTAGTGTGCAAGAAGGGCTTTCACTAACTGAAAACAAAAGACAATATTTAAACACTTTGAGGTTAGCCTCTATGAAAAAGAGGGAGTACTAGAGGAAATATTAGAAGCAGGTGGAGAATGTGCTCTTCTGAATCCCCCACTATCATGGGGTCACTCAGTAGCTGATGGATTTGCCAGCCATTGTTGTGTGCCATTGAGTCGGAACCAACCCATAGCTGACTCTCCCGTTAGTTTTCAGAGGCAGTAATCCCATGAGAGGAAATTGCCCTTTCTTCTCCCACCCAGCAGCAGGTGGAGTTGAACCATATGCCTTCGAGACTGCAGCGCAGATTCTTACCATTAGGCCACTAGGAGTTCTAGGGTTCCTTATTAAAGGAACTGTTGTTTTTAGGTGTAATCCAGTCCACTAGGACTCAGGAAACCTATGAACAACGGATCTGAAAACTTTCCTCTCTATCCTATGCTATTCTCACCATCTCCGGTATACTTGAGCCCGTTGTTATAGTCGCTGTGTCAATTCCATCTTGTTGAGGTTCTTCCTCTTTTGCTGACCTTCCACCTTATACATAGTCCAACCTTTTTTAAACCCAGCGTGCACATCTGGCAGTTCTCTGTTGATGCTCTGTTCAGTCATTTTTGGACAATTTTTAGCAGAATCTTGAATGTGATATTAATTATATTTTTCAATAATATCCACACTCTGTTGGGTCACCTTCTTTGCAATAGGAACAAATATGGACCGCTTCCAATCAGTTGACAAGGTGGTTGTCCTCCAGATTTCTTGGGACAATTTGGTGAGCGCATCTAGGACAGGGTTTGTTGAAATATGTCAATTCATACACCATCAATTCCTGGGTCCTTGTTTTTTGCCAATTCTTTCAGAGCAGTTTGAACTTCTTCCTTCATCACTTCAGGCTCTTACTCCTACATGTTGTTGTTGTTGTTATGTGCCATCGAGTCGCCTGCGACTCATAGCGACCCTATGTACAACAGCCCTAAACTCCGCTCTGTCCTGTGCCAATCGCACTGTCTCAGACACTCCCATCCCAATTATCCCAGTCACTGAATCAATCCACCTCATAGAGGGCCTTCCTCTCCTGCGCCGTCCCTCCACCCTCCCAAGCATGATGTCCCTCTCCAAGGACCGGTCTCTCCTCATTACATGTCCAAAGTAAGTTAGACAGAGCCTCAGAACCCTTGCCTCCAAGGAGCCACCCGGTTTAACCTTCTCCAGGACAAATTTGTTTTCCTAGAAGAGTACTGAGAATACCATGGACTGCTGCTTACTCCTACATAGTTTCATGAAATTCTTCTGGGTCAGCCAATTACTTTTGGTACAGTGACTGTATATTTCTTCCATCTTCTTTTTTTTTATGTTTGCTTGTGTTTTATTGACCATGCACAACAAATTACAGATAACACTTATAAGAATTGCAATCTCAGAACACATAATTGTGCTTAATTAACACTTAATTGTGAGACACCTATACATAAAACACACAGCAACTGCTCAAAAAGAACCATCATTGATTTTCCTTTCATCTTCTTTGAATACTTTCTGGATCATTTTATATTCTGCCCAAAGCATCCTTAAATATTGCAACTCGAGGCTTCAATTTGTTCTTCAGTTCCTTCGGCTTAAGAAATGCCAAGTGTTGTTGTTTAGGAGCTTTTAATGCTTAGATTGAAAAATAAGCTGGATTTTTTTCATAAAGTCCTTTGTCTGTCTCTGGCAAGGCAAGAATTAGCCCCTTACCTAGTCTATAGGCAGAGGTCCACTAGATACCCTCATAGCAAAGTTTTTAGAAGCAGATGGCATCTCATGTAGTTCAGTGAAATACCTCCCCGACTCAGAGGCGATAAAGGAAGGAAAACCAAGTGGTACGCACTGTGTGTGCATAGCACTTTTATATGTTATCTAGTGAATCTACATACCAATCAAGGTGAAGCAGGCTCCGTTCTGTAGACGCAGACCTTGTTGTTCACTCGAGAGGTTAATCAACTTATCTTAATGCTACACATGAATATCAGAACTTGGATGAAAACCCAGACCTTCTGACTCTAAGTCCAGTGCCTTTTCCACTTTGCTATATGGATTTCTCCTGATTATCCAGCTTCAGTCTTCCACAAGAAATTTGTTCTTCACATTCATGTCCCATGATTTGTCCTGGTCCAGAAAGACAAGGGGCCAGCTAAACACAGGGGTTCTATGAAGATGAGTGGAGATTCAGGAAGTATTTTTAGAAGCCCCCAAGAAAACAGTGAGGTAGAGCAGCTTGCAAGTGCAGCAAAGCCCACCTTCTGCTGATTCTCTGTGGAGTTGTTATAAGACAAAAGGGACAAAGATCATAGGAAGGTGAAGAAAGCAAGGTTCAGGAGTGGCAGCAGTAACAGGATTACCACTGCCAAGAAAGGTTAGAAGACAGTTCAACAGATCAATGAACATGTTTCCTAGCAACCAAAGAGCTCAGGAAGACTTTGCAACTCCAGGCCACTTGCAGTCATCTGCTTGCTTGAATGACTTGGGCCCTTGAGTGTGCACAGGCCTCAGGGCACATGTTCTGTCAGTAGTGGCCGCAGTCCCAATTCATTTAGCCTCTCCTTGGCCACTGCCTCCCAGCCTCTGTTGGCCTGTGTGCTACGAGGTGAAGGGTGCAGGAGACCTTAACCTCCTCTGGCATCAAGCCTACCAGAGCCCACCGTGCCCATGTCTTGGCCAACTGTCCCACTCCCACCATCAGCTGCACTGCACGCCCAGCAGCTGCACTTGCTGGCAGAGGGTTGCTCTTCAGTACTCTGGAGAGGTTCCTGACCAGCAGATTTTCCCAATGCAATTCATCTTTGTATTTCCTGGCTGCCGGTACCAAGAGTGTTGATCTGTCTTAATTTAAATACTCAGCTTTAGAGTAATATCTGACAGATAAGCATTTTACCTAAAAACAAGGATGAAAGGCCATTCCCCATTATACAACTAATAAATTTGGTGTTCGGCATCCCCCTCCTTCTACATGTGTTGTGATCCTGTTCCCTGACCCACCACACCAGCAATACCTCCTCCATTCTACCCCACAACTAACTCCTGATATGATGGCTTAAGCCTCAAGCTACTTCTGTCCTCTTACTGTCTCTCTACTCCACAGTGATGTTGGTACTTTGGGCTGGTTCCAGAAGCCCTGGTTCTGTGCTCAAGTTTAGCCTCGATTTTTTTGAGACTAAAAAAATTTACTCTGCCTTTGCAGAATCAATAAAACACAAATAGATATCCCACTGGAGAGACTAGGTGGGCCCCAAAGACATTGGTAGTACCCAGGGAAACAGGCCAGAGAGGCCACGAGTGGTAGCATCCAGACATACTGGGCAGGGACGCCCATAGAACCATATTCCCAGGGGATTCAGGACTCTCCTAGCAGCAACTCTCTAGGTGGGTAGTGGGGGTTCAGGGGAGGAGAGGTAGAGGAGAAGGAGAAGTGAGGTTGATAATGGGGAGGTGGAAAGGTTGGGGTCAAGGACTATAGGAGGATGGGGGGACAGCAGTGTGAGGAGGGTAATGTCTAAAGGAGAATACCAAAGGCGTGGGAATGCTAAAAGGGGGGAAGGAATGTTATTTATTGCAGTGTTTGCATTGAAGAAGTGTCTTTTAATGTTAAAGTGTCTTTGCATGCTAATGATCTTAATAGTTTAGATACATTTATGTTTGCTTGTCCATAATCTGCTCTTTTGGGTAAATGCTTGTTTCTGTCAGATATTAAGGATACTGTTCAATAATTTCCACATCTTGGTGGGTCCCTTTTTGGGAATAGGAAACAAAATGGAACTTTTCCAGTCAGTTGACTGGGTAGCTGTCTTTAAAATTTCTTAGCATAGATTGATAAGCACATCCAGGGCTGCATCTGTTTATTGAAACATGTCAGTTGTCCATCAACTTCTGGTGTCTTATTTATTTTGTCTAAGCCTTCAGTACACCTTGGATATCTTCCTTTATTATCATTAGTTACTGATCATATTTCATTTCTTGAAATGGTCCTATGTCAGCTAATCTTTTGGGTACAGTGACTCTGTGTATTTCTTCCATCTTCTTTTGATGCTTCCTACATAGTTCAAGATTTTGTTCATGGTA